TCTATTCTATTCTATTCTATTCTATTCTATTCTATTCTATTCTATTCTATTCCATTCCATTCCATTCCATTCCATTCCATTCCATTCTATTCTATTCTAATTTATTCAGGGATCTTCTTGTTTAGCCAATGGCCAGAGGACAGATTTGATAGAGATTTGAAAATCGGGAGAGACATAAAAGTTCCCAATTAAACCTGGCCACATTTTTGAGCATCAGGAAACCTTCAATGTTTCTTCAAACACCCCACGTTTTACATGAATGGGACATGGAAATGCTTATATAGAAATGTAATTATGAAATTCTATTTATCTGCACAGCATGAAAGGGATAATATGCAATTCCTACAGAATCGTGTGTGTATGTGCATTTGTGTGTTTGTGTATGAATATATTGTGTATATATTGTGTATGAATATACACACACACACACACACACACACACACACACACGCCGATAACCCAGCATTGCCCGGGTATTTATTTATCCTAATCCTGTATTAAACAGGAAAAGCCCTGATTTCGGCAACAATTACATTTGTTACCAATGCTTTTTTTCCTGTTTCCCCCGGAAGCATCAAGAGAAATGATACCACCTTGTTTCAAAGCCTTGTTGAAAATGTCCGGAACAAACCTTAATTTCTAATGTTGGATTTTCCCCTTTACCAGAGAGAGCCCCAGGGGAGTCCCACAGTATTTGTTTCCAGAGGGGGTAAATAATCTATGTACCAAGTAAATCTCCAGAATCCTAAAGCCTACAGACTTGATATTTGGCACCTATGTTCCTCTTGGCTTCTAGGTGCTCACTAAGAAAGGATTTTTCGAAGGGTAATCCCTTTGAAACATGTCACAATAACTCATTTTGATCACTTTGATCAAAACATTAGGGAACATAACCCTGTATTCTGCTCCACCCAAACCTCACTAACCTCTTTCCAAATTTAATTTGGTGGGTGGACATCTCCATGAATGGACCTGCGTCCGCGGGTGGAGTGGACACCTTCTATCCAGGTAATCCTTAATATACAACCAGAATTGAAACCATAACTTCCATTGCTCAGCAATTAGCTTCTTACAGAGGTCACTTTTTATGACCTTTTTACCACAGTTGTTCGAGAGATCATTGCTGTCGTTGTGTGAATCACATCATTGTGAACCACATCTGGATTCCCTAATTGCTTGTAGAAAGCAAACTGGGATGGGCACAGAGAGTGATCCCATGACCCTAGGATGCTAAAACAGTCAAAATGCATGCCCTGCCTGTGTGCATCAACCTACAACTAACGTTGAGTGAAGCGTTCAAGGAAGGCTGAGCCGCCTTCTGGTTTTTGTCACACTTCCCCATAAAGTGCAGTCACTGTGGGCTGCCAACTGCCATCATAAGACAAACAGTAATAGTCAGCCTCGTCTTCTGGTTGGACGTTGGAGATGGACAAGGTGGCTGAATTGGAGGAAGAATCGACAGAAGCAGAAAATCGCTCAGGGATTCCAGAAGGTCTCTCAGTATCTTTATAGATCACTAGTACTGGTTTAGTGCCAGGTTTCTGCTGATACCAGCTCACATAATAGTCAGAAATGCTACCCGCTGCCCTGGTACAGGTGATCCTGACTGTTCCTCTAGGGGATTCTGACAGAGAAGGTGGTTGAGTCATGGTGAACTGGCCCCAGGCACCTGCAGGGGACAGAAAAGGGATGAAATGCACCTGAGATGCAACCAGTGGAAAATGTTTTAATTCAGGTGAAAGGAAAAAGGAGAAAAGGCATGAAGAAATGGGAACAATTCCAGCAAAGTAGAAATCTTCCAAGGAAGAGAAGAAGATCTTTGCCAGTCAAAGGGGATACTTTACCAGTGAAGTAGGTGAGGAGGGAGAGGAGGAAGAGAAACCGTTGGGCCATGGCAGAGAAATGGGCAAGGACGGATCTTCTGAAACCAAAGTTCCTTCTAGGTGGACCTCTTCTCCTCCCGCTTAAGTTGAGCTGCAAGAAAGCGAGGCATGCAAATACCCTTCCTTTTCCTGCCTTTTAAAGCCTCTAGGTCTATTTGTAGGACGAGGGCAAGAGGTGGCTGGCAGGGGATTTCATTGGAGAGTCTCCACTGAAGGAGGAATGAAAAAGGCAGAGATTCCAACCTCACCTCTCTTCACATAACAACAATAATTGATCTATTTTTAGGATTCCCAGAATTCAACATATTGGAACCTAAGCAAAGAATATGATGGGCAAGTGGATCATTGGAAAAAGGTGGTCTATACAGTAAGCTGCTCCCATGCTATGAAAGTTTAATAAGGACCCCTCGAACCTTCAATGGCCCCCAGAAATATATTGGGAGCTAGTGTAGCTCACGAAGCAAAGGTGCAACCTGATACTTTTTCATCTACAGTCAGCTTGTGGTTCACTTCCAGGGCCAACCCATTGATAGCATGTTGCAGTGGTCCATTTGGGAAGTGACCAAAGCATGTGTGACCATAAGCACTGTATCCTTGTCCAAGAAAGGACGCAACTCCTGCACAACACAAATTGTGCAACAATCCTTCTGAGGTTGACTGTCTTTTGTTCCTCAAAAGAAGGAGATAGGATTTCAGATAATTCCCCAGTAATGGAATGTGTGGTTGACCTTGAGGAAAGGAAGGAAGAGATCCTGCCTGGCAAACAATCAGATAAGAGGAGCAGGAGCCCAGAACCGCTTAATGGTCATAAGAAGAACCTTAGGAAAGACCCACCCTTGAGGTTGACACCAATTGGCAATGGGAAGCTTCTACTTTCAGACTTGCAAAAGTTACGTTAATATAGCCTTACAATGAAGTAGATTTAGTTTGCATTGATGTGGAGGGCTGACTTCCCCCTTATGCACACTGGCTCTGTTGGACATTGTGCAATCACAATCAGGATCAAGGCTGGAAAATCACAACATCCAGAAGGTCCAAAGCCCCAAAGATGTTCAATGGCCAGGGAAGAGTTGAAGTTTATTCTATCCCGTTCATCCCTACATAAGACTCCCCTATGGGGTGGGGTTAGGGGGCTGAAATCTGTCATCCGCTCCCCCCAATTCAGGGAAGTGACCTGACCCCCAGGTTAATGCAGGTTGTGCTAAAGGCAAAGGGAGGGGCTTTTACACACACACACCAACCCTTCCCCAAATTCAATTCAGCATGTGATCATCTCCACTAAGGGACCTGAGTCAGGGTGTTCAATGTACATCTTCTGTACAGGTAGCCCTTAATTTACGACGCAACTGAAACCAGCAAGGAGGTTCTTACAGGAGTCACATCCAATTTTACGACCGTCTTTGCCACTGCAGTTGTTAAGTGAATCATGCAGTCGTTAAGGGAATCTGGTTTCCCCCAATGACTTTGTAGAATGCTAGTTGGGGACGTCATAGAAGGGGCTCACATGAAAAGATGGAACTGAAACCGTCTAAAATCCTTTCCGTGGCTGTGTTCAATTCTTTTGCAAAACCACCTGCAACCAAAGTTGAGAGAAGCTTTCAAGGAAGGCAGAGCCACCTTCTGGCTTTTGTCACACTTCCCCATAAAGTGCAGTCACTGTGCACTGATCATTGCCATCATAAGACAAACAGTAATAGTCAGCCTCGTCTTCTGGTTGGACATTGGAGATGGACAAGGTGGCCGAATTGGAGGAAGAATCGACAGAAGCAGAAAATCGCTCAGGGATTCCAGAAGGTCTCTCAGTATCTTCATAGATCACTAGTACTGGTTTAGTGCCAGGTTTCTGCTGATACCAGCTCACATAATACTCAGAAATGCTACCCCCTGCCCTGGTACAGGTGATCCTGACTGTTCCTCCAGGGGATTCCGACAGAGAAGGTGGCTGAGTCATGGTGAACTGGCCCCAGGCACCTGCAGGGGACAGAAAAGGGATGAAATGCACCTGAGATGCAACCAGTGGAAAATGTTTTAATTCAGGTGAAAGGAAAAAGGAGAAAAGGCGTGAAGAAATGGGAACAATTCCAGCAAAGTAGAAATCTTCCAAGGAAGAGAAGATGCTTGATCTTTGCCAGTCCAAGGGGATACTTTACCAGTGAAGTAGGTGAGGAGGGAGAGGAGGAAGAGGAACTGTTGGGCCATGGCAGAGAAATGGGCAAGGACGGATCTTCTGAAACCAAAGTTCCTTCTAGGTGGACCTCTTCTCCTCCCGCTTAAGTTGAGCTGCAAGAAAGCGAGGCATGCAAATACCCTTCCTTTTCCTGCCTTTTCAAGCCTCTAGGTCTATTTGTAGGACGAGGGCAAGAGGTGGCTGGCAGGGGATTTCATTGGTGAGTCTCCACTGAAGGAGGGAGGAGGGAAGGGAAGGGCAGAGATTCCAATCCCACCTCTCTTCTCATAAACATTCAGAATCTATCTGTCTTCAGGAGTCCCAGATTTTATCATCTGGCAACCGAAGCAAATGATCTCAGGGACAGATGGACCTTTGGAAAGAGGTGGTTCCTTGCTTTAAGTTGCCTCTAAGCCCTGAAAGCATTAGAAGGAGGACTAGAACCTTGAATGGCCCCCCAGAAGCTTATTGGAAGCTGGTGCAACTCAGGAAACAGAGGTTTAACCTGGATTAACAAACAACCTTTTCAACTATTTTTCATCTTTTGGATACTCTTCAAGGGCAACCCCATTAACTGCACATTGCAGTAGTCTATATGGGAGGCAACCCAAACCTTAACCACCCAATTCAGTGAAGTGACTTGATTTTGAGGTTTGTGTAAGGTTCACTAAAAACAAAGGTAAAAACACATTAAAGGTAAAGGTAAAAGTTCCCCTCGCACCTACATGCTAGTTGTTTCTGGCTCTAGCGCCTGGTGCTCACCTCCATTACTAAGCCAAAGAGCCAGCGCTGTCCAAAAACATATCTATGGTCATGTGGCCGGCATGACTCAATGCTAAAGGCGCACGGAACGCCGTTCCCTTCCCACCAAAGGGGTCCCTATTTTTCTATTTGCATTTTTAACATGCTTTTGAACTGCTAGATTGGCAGAAACCCAAACAAGGAACAGGAGCTCACTCCGTTACGTGGCGCTAGGGGTTCGAACTGCCGACCTTTCTGATCAACAGGCTCAGCGTCTTAGCCGCTGAGCCACCGCGTCCCTTAAAACACACGAAGCCCTTCCCAAATTCCCAAGCTCAATTCAGCATCTGGTCATAACCATTCAAGGACCGGAGTTAGTGTGTTGTATGAAAGCCTTCTGGGGAGGTAGTCCTCGAATTACAAGCACAGTTTAAACCAGAACTTTCATTGCAAAGCTTTCTTAAGATGCATTCTTAGCTCTTTGGCAATTCCTCTTTTCACTGTGATTTGGGCACCCCCATCAGGGCACAAACAGCAATAATCAGCCTCCTCTTCTGCACGGACGTTGGAGATGGAAAAGGGGCTGAATTGGACGAAGGGTTAGCAGACCCAGAAAAATCACTCAGGGATTCCAGAAGAGAAAAATACCTTTGCAAACTAAAGGGATATTTCCGAGTGGAAGATCTGGAATAAGAAGGCAAAGAGAAGCTGAGATGCGATCAGACAGAAATGCCGTTTATTAAGGTCAGGAAAGTAGAAAGGAGGAGAGGAGAGATCCAAATTGCCACAAAACTAGAAATGTTCCTAGGATTAATTAATTAAATGTTGAGCTCCTCATAGGAAGCAATATCTTACCACTGGAGTAGGGGAGGAGTAAGAACCCAAGGAGAAACATCTGGGCCATGGCAGAGAAGCGGGCAACAGTTATATTTCGGAAAGCAACATTTCATTTCAATTGCCGCTTTCTCGACTTCTACATGAAGTTGCAAGAAGAGGTGTTGCAAAACAATGCAAATTTTTCTCCGTCTATCCTTTTGTTAGGGGTCCCCTTCATTCATTCCTTCAACCACTGAAAAGGGGGTTCCCCTAGGATCTCATTTTTAAGACTCCCCTATCGGGTAGAGTTAGGGGGCTGAAATCTGTCAGCCGCTCCCCCCAATTCAGGGAAGTGACTTGACCCCCAGGTTAATGCAGGGTGTGCTAAAAGCAAAGGGAGGGGCTTTTACACACACACACTAACCCTTCCCCAAATTCAGTTCAGCATGTGATCATCTCCACTAAGGGACCTGAGTCAGGGTGTTCAATGTACACCTTCCATAGAGGTAGCCCTTAATTTACGACACAAGTGAAACCAGCAAGGAGGTTCTTACAGGAGTCACGTCCATTGACTTTGTAGAATCCTAGCTGGGAACATCCTAGAAGGGGCTCACGTGAAAAGACAGAAGTGAAACCATCTAAAATACATTCCGTGGCTGTGTGCAATTCTCTTCCAGTATGCTCTTCCAGCGTTGTGCAAATGCAATTCTAGCTGCCGTGAACACATTTTAGTATTAGATACATATTCTATCCTATTCCTATTCTATTCTTGTCTTGTCTGTCTCTCTCTGTCTCTCTTTCTCTTTCTCTGTCTCTGTCTCTCCCTCTCCCTCTTCCTCCCTCCCTCTCTCTCTCTCTCTCTCTCTCTCTCTGTTTCTCTCTGACTCTGTCTCTCTTTCTGTGTATCTCTCTCTCTCTCTCTCTCTCCCCCTCCCTCTCCCTCCCTCCCTCCTCCCCCCCTCTCTCTGGAGTGGTCCTGCACCAGTTGCCCTGATGCCTGAGAATCTCCACAGACTTTCAGGGCTGTTGCAACTTCGAATGGCCGGTGAACCAAATGGTTGCAAGTTGAGGACAGCCTGGATGTGAAATTCGAAAGGATCGAAGCAAAAATGGTGGCTTTATTTCTGCCCAGTTGGTTCCTCTGCTTTGTGTTTCAGTTCTGCATCTGAAGGCAACAGTGTGTAACCCATCGTTATGCCACATGGCACAGTAATAATCCCCTTCATCGCCCACCTCGACATTCGAAATTGTCAGCTTTGCATGGCTGCCATAAGTGTCCGCGGACAAACGGTCAGGGATCCCGGAGGCTCTTTCCCTGGACTTGTAGAAGAGCAATTTTGGAGGCTGGTCTTCTTTGTGATGATACCAGGATGGGTTCGTGGAGCTGATGAACTCCACACCTTGCAGAGCACAGTTTATGATGGTGGTTCCTGCAATGGCCACTGAAACAGGGCCGCTTTGAGTCACCTGAGCCTGAGAGAGGACACCTGCAAAGAGTGAGATTGTTAGCCTCCTGTCTTGCCAGACTACAGAGGAATCCTGTGTTGTTGTACATTGAAGAAGAAGAAGAAGAAGAAGAAGAAGAAGAAGAAGAAGAAGAAGA